GAAAGAGATATGAAATGCAAACAAAAATGAAAACATGGAACAATGCAACAAGACCAACACAAGTCACAAAGATGGAAGACTTAAACAAGTCAAGAAAGATGAGAGGAAATGAGAGAAGCAAGCTCCTACAATCAAATGCCACCAATCATCAGAAGAAGAATGGTGCTATACAAAGAAGCACAATCAAAAAAATGATGGGAGAAAGAGGATGGGGCAGTAACCACATCATGAACATCTCAACAAAACACTTACACATGATCAAGTAAAGAAATGCAACACAAAAGAGGCTCAATTGTTCATAGAAAACTTCAAGGTGAAAACAAAATCACCAAAGCATATTGAACAAGTACAAAACCTCTAAGGTCAGAAGTGAAACTCAAATGGTATACCTCATATTCAAAGTCAAATTGGAAAGCAAACACAAGAATGATCAAGTTCAATTAGAGGACCAAAGTCCATCTAAACATCTCACACTTCAAATTCAGGTGGAAAGGCATGATCAAATGAGACTTGTGGCATAAGGTATGCATCCAATGGACCCATAAACATGCTAGGCATCACCTCAAGCATGTTAACAAAAGCTAACAAGGCTTAAGAGGTGCTCAAGGGATCATACGTGATCATGTCCCAAAACTAGGTCAAGGATTGGATGCATGCACATAGTGAAAACAACTTTGAATTTGAGATATCCACTAAAAATAAAAGAAAGCTCAAATAAACCAATTAAAAACATCGAGGGTCCAAAAAAACCAATTAAAAACAAATGAAAAATGATCATCAAAACCTCAAACCAGCCCTCAAATGAGCCTCAATCTAACACCTAAGTGTGAGAGGAAAATTGGTCAAAGGGGGTGTTTTAATTATGGTCAAAGATCAAGTTCAATTCAAGGTATCAACCATAAAACACCTTTAATCATCAATTCAATTAAAAATAGAAAAAATAATTGAAAAATAAAATAAAAATATTGAAAAATATCCTAACATCTTGAAATAACAGAAATGTATTTTATGGGATTTTTGAAATGCTTAAAACCATTTTAAAATGAATTAAGTTGAAATTGCAAAAAAAGAAAATAAAATGAATTAAGGAAATGGAAAGGGGTGCACTAGCAATTCTGGTTGAACTAGGATCCTTTGTTCACACGCATATGGGCCCCAGAATGGGGGGCATGGATAACAAATGAATCAAAGCCCAACCCAAAATGAAATCAGCAAAAGACAAAACTCAAACCATTAGTGAAACGCACCGTTTCACTAATGGGATTGCCCTCAGGTCAAAACAAAAGGCGCCACACAACCAACACATGGACGACACATCAACCTGGTCAAAAAGTCTCACAGCCACATCAGTGTCCTCATAAGACACCGGAGCTAGGGCTCCGATCGTCTTCTCCGAGAGGCTCGTCGGAGCTCAGACTTCAAACCACCATAAAAATGAAAACATATGGTACCATTTTCAAGATTTTTTCACGTAGAATCCAAATATCATGTTGGCTTTTGAAAAAGGTTCCTCTAACTTGGAGAAAACAAGCCACAAAAGTGTGATGCACAAACTGAAATTCAAACAAACAACCAACAAAATGATCCAAACATGGCCTACGTGAAGTAGGGCTTCATATGCACCAGTTATGAACCTAAATAAGTGCCTAAAATGAAGATTTCAAGCCATGGAAATTTACCTAACGGAGCTGCTTCGTTAGCTCTTCGAATGCTTAGCAAACTTCAACCTCAAGCCTCCAATCTCCTCCTTGTGTTTGTGTGATGATGAATTGAGCAATGGCTTGAAGGAAAACCCAAGAAAAACTTAGATTCGAAGAGAGAGAAAACTCTAAAATTTCTTCATGAATCTCACACCTCTGCGCAGCTCCTTCTATTATGAGCATTTAGGGTTCAATTATAGCTTATATATGAGGGCTTTATGAGTCCCATGCAGGCCCATGATGATTAAATCATTTGATTTCCAAAACTTGCCAAAAAACTTCATTCCATGTGCACACACGGGTTAGCATGATATATCCCTCATTCATGGTCAGCAAAGAGCAAATGAGGTGTGAGAAAAAGAATGTTGGTGATTAGGGTGATTGAACATGAGTGGGAATATGGTTTTAGACCATTACCTCCTATGGTGTAAAACTTGAAAAAGTGTTATGACATGAAAGTTATGTTGGCTCAAATTGAGTAAGTTTTGTCATGAGCATGATATGATGAGGATGTGGTATCAAAAGGTTCAAAACAAATGCATTTGGTAACTTAAGATGGAAGAAAACCACACTAGGTCTAAAAATCAAGTTTTCATGGTCATTAAGGCTTAAGTGATCCCATAATTCATCAAACATCATGGATTTTGAGTTCAAGATGATGTTAAGGCAATGTGACACAACTTTCATGTTTGATGAAAATGGATTAGAGGTCTTGAAGTGGATGAAATTGGTCATTGAAATGAAAGACCTAAGACTAGATTTCCAAAAATACCCTTGACTTGTGAAGACCATAAATAAGCAGTATTAGATGTAGCTATTGTAAATGGGTCTCTCACCCTTTGGATTTCTTGTTAGTTCTGTTTTTTGCCGGTGTTTGTAACTAGATTGGAGTAGCCCTAGTACTCATATCTAGTTAATTATGTTTGCTAATAAAAAAAAGGCTAGGGCTTTAGGCCCCCAAATATATAATTTGTTATCAAAGAAATTAAGACCTAAAAAAAAACCTCCATCAATTTAATACTCTCAATAAAAAAATTTCAGCAACTACGTGAATAATGTTAACTATATAATAAGACTAAAAACATTCTCAAATGCATTTATTGCTTATAGAATAATGTTAATGACAGGACTGGTGATCATGTTTCTGGGTCTACTGTTGATGATGAAGGTGACAGCTCTGGGTCTGAGGAAGAGAGTTGATGGTGCTTGTTTATGGTGATCTTTGGATTATGGCTTTTTTTTTTTATTCATAATTTCTCTTTTAACACTTAATGTGCTTTGGCTTGTATTTTGTTTGGGTTCTTTCTCACTCTTAACACTATTGGCTTTGTATGATTGTTCTATGATAATGTTTTTCTCTTGGTATGATTTCTTTAATTATGGCTAAAAGGGGGAAAAGTAGTATGAGGAGTTTGTTGTGCTGGTGGTGTTTCTACTGTTGAGGGGGAGTTTAGTTTTTTTTTTCTCTCTGACAATTTGGTTTGAAGGGGAGCTTTATTTCTCCTTGGAACATGTTAGATTTTTCTGTGGCTTTCTGCTGTTGTTGTGCTCTCTGTTGTGTTCTGGTAGCTCTTGTGATCAATTGGTTGTTTTAGCCAAAATTTGTCAAAGGGGGAGTTTGTTAGTTCTGTGGTTGACAACAATTTTGGTAAAATTTGGTGTTATCACAAGATGTCCTATAGGATGTCTTGACATGTGATCCTAATATTCTTCAGGTGGATTCTTGTTGATGTTGCAAGTATGATGTTGCAAGGTTTAGTTTATGTTTAGTTTATGAAAAGAGTTTTTGCTGGTGCAAATTAACGTGGAGATCTTCTTTAAACAAAAGAGTTTCTGATGTATAATTCGTGGAGTTAAATAAATTGACTTTATTTTCAATTAAAAATATGTTAAATGAAATTGATTATAATAATTTAATAAATAATTTTTGCATCTTAAAAAGCTCAAAAAAAATAATTTTTAAATAAATATTATAATAATTTAATTTAATTTAATTTTGTTATTAGATTATAAAAAATTTCAATTTAAAGTTTACTATAAACCTCATAGAGTGTTGTGTCGGCTCTGCAATTAATATTACTAGAAAGAAAGGTTGGATAAAACTTTAGATTAAAATCGACTCTATCTTAATATTGTAAGTCATCTCAAAACTAATCATAGTGTCATGATCGTTGAGAAAGCATTAAAATGCTTATATAGAAACTATTACACAATTAAATAAGCATAAGTAAATAAATGTTCCTTTCATTATATATGGACCTTATTTTTATTAAAAAAATATATTATCTCATACTATTTTGCACAATTAAATAAGCATAAGTAAATAAATGTTAATTTTATAGGTTTATATTAGTTAAACTATTAATATATTTTTATTATAATAAATAGTACAAAATGAATTATTGTAGTGACAATTTAAGAGAGATACAAATTTTATTAATGGAAGAATACAATTGAAAGAATAAAAATTAAATTTACAATAAAATAACACTATAAAAAATTACAATAAAAATTAAAAGTTTTAATGTTTTTAATAAATATCATTTAGATTAAACTTGTCAATTATTTAAACAGATAGAAAGTACTCCCTCCATTTTTATTATAAGTTGTTTTTTTTTACTTTTCACACATATTAAGAAATATAATAATTATGATATAAAAAAGAAAAATTATGAATAATTTATAAAATTATTCTTTATTAATAATATTGTAAAGATAAATTTACATAATTAAAAAAATAATAATAAATATTTAGAGGTATAAAAGAAAAAATAACATTAATAATTTATTGATATTTTAAAACGACTTATATTGTGGTGTAAAATATTATTTCAAAATAATTTATAATAAAATAATTAAAATAATTTTTTTTCTACGTAAATTATAAAAGATTCACATCTATAATTTTAAAATACTTATTAAAACATTCAATCAGATCCTACCCGATAGATATTTGTCTAAAAAATTGTAACTAACCTAATAAAAATAGTATCATTAAATAATTTAGCTGGATGCATTTATTTAAATATTCCATTCATATAATTTATTTACTTTTTGATTGAAAAGAAAATCTAATAACTATATTGAGTTCATAAATATGAGATAGATTATTTATCACACTTTCTAGTTTCCACTCTCTTCTGTGTTTAAGGGTTGCTTTTAAATCTTCCCGCACCTAAATCTATTCTCATAACATAACATCACACACAACCCTAGTTTGTACAGAGTGTTATTTCTCTCTCATTCTTTGTTTCAATTCAACATCAAAATCAATTCTTGTTCAAGAAATTCAACATCAGTATGTCGAAGGAAGTCATTATCCGTGAGGTCTGGGCATACAATTTAGAGTATGAATTCAATCTCATCCGTCGAGCTATTCTCATCCGTCGAGCTATCCATCAAAATCATTTTATCATCTCAATGGATACTGCATTTCCCGGCGTGATTCATTCTTCCAAAATTGACCATCGTCGTCTTCAACCCTCTGATTATTACCGTTACTTGAAGGCTAACGTTGATGATCTTAAAATCATCCAAGTTGGTCTCACCCTTTCGGACTCCAAGGGAAACCTTCCTGACTTTGGAAGCAATAACACTTACATTTGGGAGTTTAATTTCAGTGATTTTGACATCAATCATGATCTTTGCAATCAAGATTCCGTTGATATGCTCCGCCGTCAAGGAATCAACTTTGAGCGCAATATTTGTCACGGTGTGGATTCAATGCGTTTCGCTGATTTAATGTTGTCGTCGATACTTGTTTTTAAGGAATCAATTATTTGGGTCACGTTTAGCAGTGCATATGATTTCGGATATTTGGTGAAAATTTTGACCCGAATGAATTTGCCAAACCGGTTAGAGGAATTTTTAAACATCATAGAAATATTGTTTGGAAGAAGTGTTTACGATATGAAACACATGATGAAGTTCTGCAACTCTTTGTATGGTGGTCTCGAGCAAGTAGCTAGTATCCTTAATGTGAATCGGGCTGTTGGAAAGTCACATCAAGCTGCATCCGATAGTTTGTTGACGTGGCATGCATTCCTCAACATGATGAAGACTCATTTTAAGGATGATGAAGGTCGCAAGCATGCCGGAGTGCTGTTTGGATTACAAATTGCAGCTTAATGAATAGAATATAAAAGAATTGTAATGAAAATTGAAGTATATCAATGAATAGAATATAAAAGAATTGTAATGAAAATTGAAGTATATCAAATATTCATTCTTTTATTATTTGTTTATTTTGTTGGAAGTCTGTCAAATTTGTTAATATGTTATATTGCTATTTTCCTTTCCGTCTTTAATATGTTATATCACTATTTCCCTGTCAAATTTGTTGTTAATATGTTATATCGCTATTTCCCAAATCGCAACCAAATCTCCCCAATCTAAGATTGAAACTCAAAAACCTTAACTCAACAAAGCATCCAATTAACTAAGGAGAGATAGTCAATCGAACACGAAAAACATGAATTACGGCAAGGCAAGATGAGACAGAGGGAACTTACCAACCAGAGCGAATCCAAGGTCGTCTAAAGGTTAAGGTATGTTCTTCGTTCTCTCCTCGTTCCTCTTTTGCTTGCGTTGAATGCTATTTTTGCAGAAGAAATTAGGGTCTGCCTCTATGTAAATTTCTTTCTTGTACGTGCTTGTTGCTTATGTTCTCCTCACCATGTGTTCGTCGTTTTTCCCGTCTCAAATCATCTCTTTTATAGGCCTATATGAATTAAATTTCCAATCTCATACTTGAGTACGAGATTGAGTTGCTGATTTTGTGTTTGATTGCATCATTGATCTTACCGTGTTTAACTTAGGATTTATTATTGTACAAAGTTTTGATTTTGTAAGGTTTATACAGCTATTAATTGTGATTCTGATTACTTGATATTTCCTTTCAATCTTGTTGATTATGCCTTGATGAATCGAAATTTTGTTGCCCATTATTTATTGATGATTGTGATTTGCAATGAATACTTGTGATTTCTTCCATTGCTTTCACCGAACAGTGTTTTTATTTTCCTTGATCCTTTCCTTATTTGAAGATTCAATTCCAAGCATGCTTCATGATTATCTTGCCGTGATTATATGATTCCATCTTCCATTGGCATGTTGATAAGGCTTATGCGTCGGATTTGCACATTTCAGTCTTGCACCAATTGGTATCTTTCTCCCTTATGGAATCAACCTGAGTTTTGATAATCAGTTGCTTCACTCTACTTCATCACAAAAGTAGAATTGGAAAGATGTGGAAATTCAGAGTACAAGTGAGGGTTGTGGTGATTGGTTTTTTGGTATGCTAACCAAGATTTGAGTTTTGTTAGAAACTTGTTTTTTATATGATACCAATTTTATGAGCAAATTTGCAAGCAAGCAGTCATAGATTGTATTCGTGTTTGAAGGCAAGGTTTGACCAAGACGTGACATTAAAAAATGGCTTGTGCTTGAATTTGTTGCGTGATCGGGTAGACTTCTGGGAAGTGGCAGATTTAGGTTGAGTCATAAATAGAAGCAATGTGTATTTATCTCCAACATGGTACGTAAACAAGAACTCTCCCTTGGAAAACTAAACGATATATTTTTTCTTTGGCACTTTTTTATCAACTCTGAGGGAATGAATTATAAATCTAATATTTTGGATATTATCTCAACAGTGATTTCCTGAATTTCCAGTACCGTTATTGCTAGGGATCTCCTTAGGATTATTGCTTCAACGGAAGAAAAAAAATATCCCAAGTTATTTGCAACTTAAATGGCTTTGGATCCTTTGCAAGTACTTCTGCATCTATCTTTGCGGGCAAGAAGTCTAGTCGCGACAACAAACTGTGACGGTGCCTTAACTCTTATTGTCTTGGATTCAAGCTTATTTGACAATGCTTTGAGTTGATCCAAACTCTTTTGAAGTGGAACGAATTGAGAAGAAGTAGAAGATTGCTCAAAAATCTTGGATGAAGAATGAAGTAGATTGATTTAGCTTGCCCAAATTTTTGTTTCAACATAAGATCAACGCCGACGGGGCAATGGTTTGGAAGAAGTCATGGCTGAATTTAGCTTCCCAATTTAAAATCTTTTCAAATAGATTAGACATTAGTCATCCTTAGTTGGTTCTTTTCCACTTGAGAGAGGTATGTGGCATACTTGTTGATTCTATATCCAAGTTGGAGCTTTTCTCCCAATGTGAATTAAAGATCTCTCTTCCACGTGTTTGTGGTAGTTAATTTGAATATTCTCCTTAAGATGACAACTCGTCTCTTCTTCACTAAAATCCACCATAACAAACCCTTTTCAATTTGTACCCCAAACTACGATGTTTTGATCCTTTATTGGTACGTAGGCACACGACTTTGTGTCTTGCCAAACACAAAAACAATAAAAAAACATTTCTCTTCTCATCAATCAATCCAAAGTAGCAAACAATTTAACCATAACACAAATACAACAAGAGGTTCCTACAGAATATATAGATACTTAGGGTGCTAATACTTTCACTTAGTATAACCAACCCCCAAACCTTATATCTCTTTATTGCTTTTGTTTTGCATTACATATTTATGGGTTATTCCTTCTTCTCCTCTTTCCTTGGATAAATTACAGATCAGTGGTGATATCTTAAGATTTGTGAAGCCTAGCTAATTTGATAGCTATGGTCTCTGATTCTCACTGCGACAAATTGGTTCTCAATCTGGAAAGTTTTCCATCTCAAACACGTATGACATTATGCTTCAATATTATATTGATGAAATACATTACAAATGGAAAGATATATGGCATATATCTGTTTCAGAAAGAATGCACTAATTCATCTGGAAAATGAGTCATAAAGGCCTTATTACAAATGATTTTCTTAACTGGTGGCAACTTTGTGATAACCTATGCGACATATGTGGCATGCTGTCTAACTTTGTTCTGCACTCTCTTCGAGATTGCACTCTCCCTAAAGTGTTCTGGCCAACAATGGTTAGCCATGATATTAAGGATCTTTTCTTCTCTTGCTCGCTGCTTGACTGGATTGACGAGAATATAACGCATCAGATGTCCTAGGAGGTGGATGATTGGTTGGATTTGTGGGCGTTTCGCTGCCACCGTCTTTGGTATTGGAGAAACAAAATTGTTCATGACCCTCATTTTATGTTACCTTCTAATCTGGTGCATGAAGTTTTTAATGATGTTTCACTTTATAGAACCAACACAAGTCATTATAGTAGACTGCGACCGGCTAGGATGGGTCAGAAAATCAATTTTTTGTATCCTCCACCGTTAGGATGGATTTGCCTTAACATTGATTGTGCTATTCTCACTGGTTCTGTTGCCAAGTGTGATGGGATATTCCAGGACAGTCATGGAAATTAGTTAGAAGGATTCAATAAACGCATTGGTATTTGTAACAGTACTCTTGCTGAATTTTGGGGTGTGCTTATCGAATTTGATTTTGCATGGAAGAGAGGCTTTAAGAAACTTTTGGTTCAAAGTGATAACACTATTGTTGTGTCTCTTCTCCTTAGCAAGACGAGGATACAACAACAAGGGGCTAACATGTCAAGATATATTCTTTAGTATATTCATATATTTGAAGAAGTTCAATTTAAGCATATCTTTTGAGAGGTAAATCAGTGTGTTGTGTAACACCCTTTTTCTACCCAAAAATATCAAGGCAAAATAACACATAAATCAAAGTGAATAAATAAATCTCATTAAAAAGCCACTAAAATGGCGTACATTTCTCAAAATCATCAAAATTAGTCCATACTCCGTAAGTACGGGTTTTTCCCAAAACACATCAAAGCATCATAAACAACGGAATTCAAAATATAATTCAAAGTTTTCCTCAAAGAGGGAAATTAATCAAAATAACGTCAATAGTATAAAATCAACTCAAGGAAGCCAACCCGATGTTACATATCAGAGCAAGACCCTCTAAGCTGACCAAAAGACTAAAACGCTCAAAAAATTCAAAACTAACTCCTCGCCGGCGTCCACGGCTAAATTGGAACATCTGCACGTTACCCACGTGGAGGTAACATTCAAACAGGCAAGGTGAGTAAAACAGTTCATTATAATCAATGTATAACAATTAATGCATAAACGGCATCATAATCATATTTAACACATTCATATCCTCAATTATGCCTCAAAGGCCACAACGTCATAATTTATACACAAAGGCTCATAAATGCAAATGCAATATAGACGCAATGCATGTGGTACCAATCATCATAGCATGATGGACAATAGGCCATCAACCCTCCATAGATCCCCATCAATAGGATCGGAGCACATCAAAATACTTCACATCCACACAGTGGGATTGAAGCCAAAGAAATCGAATGCGCATGAATGCATGATGCACACGTCACAATAATAGTCCTCACAATTCAGCATATGGTGCATAATCATTCATCATACTCAGCATCATCACATAAATCACATAAATCATCATATCTCATGTTATCACATAGTTCATCAAATCATGGTAGTTTCATCATATTAACTCAATCGATACATCACAAAAAACTATCATACATCATGCACACATCACCCAAAACCCACTGTCAAACTCGGGGTAATCCATCCCAGAAATCCCATAATTACACATCACGGCATCGTTGCAAAATAATCAATTTCGCGAACTCTGCTACGTTCGCTGGCTCGCTCGCTAGGCGAGTTGGTAGCGAGCCTTCGCTGGCTTGCTCGCTAGGAGATCCTGTAGCGAACCTTCGCTGGCTTGCTCGCTAGGCGAACCTATAGCAAACCTTTGTTGGCTTGCTCACTAGGAGAATAGAGCGATGACAGCAAAAACCTGTTATGACCAGAACTGATTCCTATCCAAATACTCATACGATTTACTTACCCAAAGCCCCTAAAACATCATTAAATCATCCCTAATGTCATACGGCGATAACGACACCAAATCTATGGTTTATTAGGCCAATCTAGCAACATTTGCACTGCCTAAAACACTATTTTCCTGCAATTGCTCTGAGTGCATCAAAGTTACTCACATTTGAATATTCCTATTCCTACAAGGTCAACCATATCACAATCCAAGGTTTTGGCCACGAAGGCCTAAGGTTTCCTAATTCTCATGTTTCACATCAAACAGTCAGGGATACTAACCACTAACCACAACC